TGAACTTGATAGAAGTATACTAATGAATCTAATTTGCAATCCAAGAGTTGAATAGCTTTGGAGTTGAAGTTCAATCACAAGTTGTGCTTGATTGATAAAACCTTGAAACTTTAATCTTATGCCATCAAACTTTCTAAACAGTGGAATCTTTGGTTCTCTAACATTGAAAGGATATTCTACTATAGGAGAAGGGATATGATTTGGTGTAGATGTTAAAGTAGCTCCAATCATCTCCATATCTTCGTTCATTTCTATTTTTGTTGCTTCCTATGGTGGTAAATTAAATTGATACATTGCAAGCATTAACTCCCTCAATTGCTCTTGCATTTATACTATTATACTTTTCATTTCAAGAAGCTTTGCCATGATAACACTTAAAGAAGAAAAGATGTCTAATATTGCTCAAGATAAATAGAAGAAAATACTTGAAAATAAAAATAAATAAATAAATAAATAAATACTAAAGACAATATCAATTTAGAAGAGGATAATTTGTAATTCCTAATACGTTTAAGTCTTATCAAGAGAAAGGTATAATCCACTCTTAATCAAAAAAAGACAAAGCTCTGATATTATAAGTATATTCTCGTCAATCTGTCTACGACAAGAATTTGAGGAAAACAAATAAATAAGTAAAATTCTCTCAAAGAAATATGACAAAATAGAAATAGAGAAGTATGTATATTAAGAGAAAAAGTGGAATGGCTATTGCCAAAAGATAAAGAAACTAGAGACTCTTGAAATTAGACTAAAAACAAGAAAAGAATTGACAAGAGTGAAGAAGGCTTTACTCTTGCTTTTATATATACTATCTATTTAGGATCTATGTGGCAATATTCTATAGGACCTCTAAAAATATGTTGACTTTATATGACACGTATCTTAACTTGCAAAGCAAGTTTTTTATATGGGCACCATATAGTTAGCTTGTTTCAGAAGCTACCAACACATGTCGCAAGTGCTTAACTTCTTGACAAATTTTTTAATCTATCAATCAATTACAAATACATGTAAAGTCAAAACAGTGTCTACGAAGCTTCTAGGAAGCTTTTTTAGAAGATATTATGAAATTAATCTACTTTTACCTACTTCTATTCATTCATATTATTTAGATAATAATTATAGTAGATATATATCCATGACAAGGATCTAGATAGTAGACAAATTAAAACTAATAGAATAAAAGAATGATGTGTTTAAAAATAAGATTGAGGCTATTTTTAATCTTATCAATATTTTTCTTATAGTCTAATCTTGGTTCAAAACTTTCTAAATTCTATGTAATTAAAGGTAGACTTTGTGATACTTTTCTATCTTATAAGTGTTTTTACTTTTTTTACTTTTTTTACTTTTTTAATTCTTTAATAATATATAAATATATATTTTTTTAGAATTCTATCATGATTTATATCCTTGTCAATTTGACAAAATATCTAATTTATTTTAGATGTTTTTATTTTTAAACTAATAGATTATTCTATTTTATGATAAATATTCTTATGCTTTTAAAGATTACAGATTATTCACTTTTAAACCAATATTTAAATTTTTAAATAATGATATTTTTTTAAGATAGTAGACTACTTCTTTTTATAGAAAATTTGATGTTAGATATAGGAGAATTTACAAATGAGGTCCATTGTTTATGTCTTATTTTTAACACTATATAAGAATTAGTTTGGTATATAATAAATAATTTTATATTTTTAATTTTAAAATTTTTTATTATTTTATAAAACTCAAAATATATCAAAATAGCAAGATCTTATATTTCTTATAATTAACTATTGTGTCTAAGCTAATAAGGTTGTAAAATTATACAATAATAGTTTTTATTATTTTAAAGATTATTTTAATTTCTAATGATGTTTACTTGTAACTATAAAAATAAAAATAAAAATCATAAGTTTTAAGGATTACTGTAACAAGACATGGACTTTTGATAGTATTCATTGTTATTATAGTTTAAAAACTGGATAATATTCTTTTTGGATGCAATTTTTTTCTAAAAGAAAAAAAATAGATTGAATTACACAACCCCAAAGCTAATGTTTTTTCTTCTATGGTATTCTAATTTCTAGGTTTTATTTTTGGAATAAGTTTTTTTTAAATACAAATAAAAATTAAATTATTTATAGATGGTACTTTGGAGAAAAATAATGATTTATACATCTAAGTTTTAAAAAATATATTAAGACATTTTTAGCCCTTCTGTGATTCTATTTCATCGTTGAAAGAATTTGTGGAAATGAGTTTTATTTATGAAAAATTCACAACCAAGCTTTAAAAGATTCAAATTTACAAGGCCACTTCAAAAAGACAGCCTCAGAGATCATATGGATTCAAGAAATATCATGGTACTTAAAGGAATTTTTTTCATTATGAGCATATCTTATATTGGTTCATTTTTTTAATAAGTACAAAAAGATACAATAAAAAATAAATTAAATAAATTAAATAAAAACAAAAGCAAGGAACTAATTTTATCTATCAAAGAAATTCCTCTTAGGAGGCAAGAAAAAAATAAAATAGAAAATATAAAAGAAATTAGAATCAGATAGCAAAATGGAGTTTGCAGCGTAATACTCTTATGCCCTAATACTCTTATTGTAAAGCATGCGTAAGAGGCAAAAAAGTCAGATAAAAAAACCCTGCAGAATATGATGCGAGTGAAAAAACGAAACTTCTCTGCACTCTATCCAGTTCATTGTGAAGGCTTTAACACTTGCAACCTGCATCCTCAGTTAGTATAAAAAGTATCACCTAAATCTTGAGACAAATCATAGAGTTTTGCAAGTTGGAAGGATGCGGTGACCCAACCACCTGGACCGAAATCGTTGTGGGCCACAGCAATGTTTCATCTGTAGCATCCACACAATGGCGAAGTAGTGCTCCATTCATGCACCGAAGAAGCTTCTGATTCTACAGCAAATTTACCATTCTCTTGCCATCAACCAAGCACAACAATGATATAGAATTTTCAGTGGCTCGGCCTCCTGTTCCATGAAGTCAGCCGTGCCACAAAACCATTAAACTAACTTATCTCTGAATTATGCCGAAAACTTCCCAAACTAAAAAAGTTCTCGAAAGTTGCCCATAATCAAAAGATGTTGAAAAGAGAGACATTTCCCACACCTTGGTTCGGATGCTAAGGCAAGAGAGACATTTCCCACACCTTGGTTCGGATGCTAAGGCAAGAGATTTGTAAAGGAAACTGTGTGAAGTCTACTTTGAATGGTTCCCGGGTTCAGACCTCATACATTGAAGTAACACCCATTCCAGTCTTTCATATGTTTTCAGGTGCCAGAATGGAATCAATTGTTCGTACTAATTGGGGTTGTTTAACTTAAATTTGCACGATATATCCGCTACTCTTGGATTGATACTCCTACGAGTCTAGAATCTTCTACTGATCGTTTTTAAGTTTCTGGCTCAACACGCCACCGGCACTGCACGCTATTGAAGCTGCCTACTGATTTGTCAGGTTTCGGCCAGGTTAGTAATAAAAGAGTAATTATATTCGAGGTTATCAAGTTTGCAGACGACGTTATGTCATGCTATACATCACATGTGCTTATTAATTCGTGATTGCAAAAGTGTAGAATTCCGAGTTTGCTCAGCGATTACAGACTTCTGTCCTGACATTATATCTTGCATTATAATGGTTAGATTTGGTAGCTACGAGCTTTCGCAGTTGACTATCCAAATTAGTTGAATTGTACGACATTCTAGCGAATGAACTTTCATCGTATTAGGCCAGTAAAGATGAATGATATTATCCAAGAGGAAATAACTGTCACTTGCCTTGTTTCAGACACTTGTATCATTTAAACCTCCTTACCGTCTGGAGACCAGTGGGCTATACCTCTCGACGAAAATTGATGTAACAGAAAAGTTCCCTGACAGATGCTTGCTTTGGTGGGCAGCATTGTTGATTAGGTTTTGAAAAGAATGTGGGCTAAACGCAAGGATTTCGACTGGCTCAGGGTGAGTGAAAACGATTATGCAAGATTGGCGTATTCTTAGTCAGCGATGTTTTCCAAAAATACAAGATATTGCTGTGAAGTTCGGAGTAATTATGCCAGCTACAATGCTCTAGTTACTATCTTTTGCAGTCTCCGGATGATGGACAGGGAGTCGAGTTCATAAGCAACCCAAACTAACCATTTTCATGCTTGAAGAGAGTACTTATGATAGAGATATGATTGGACATGGTTCATAAGGTTGTGTAGTGGTCTTTTCATCCATCTAGGACAAATGTTGAAATTTCTCAAATAAAATTGAGCCTGGGCAATGTTTGTGACATCCAGGTTGACAACTCCTTCACTACAACGCTTCCCACACTCCTCTGCGAGTAATTTGCCCAGGAGATAGCCATCAGAGTTTCTACGGATAGATCCTCAACTTCGTGAATCACTGCAATATTCTGCCACTGCCCAAGGAAGAACATGATAACAATGCATGGAAAAGAGATGGACCACTTCTAAACGATTGCAACATGCAATGGTTAATTGACGTGCATGCGTGACATACCTCAAAGCAGCGTCATCCCAGGAACTGAAGTAGATCTCACAATATCTAGGAAACTACCTTAGACAACTCCCAGCAATTCCTGAGCAGAGAATCCAGGAGAATATCTAGAGATGGGAATGAACTGCAGATTTTCAATATTGGAGAAAAACACCTAGATGTTCCCACAATATTGTGACTCATATCGCACTGTTTCTCTAAAACAAAAGCATGAAGATAAGGAGGCAAATTAAAACAAGTTCAATTGAAAACCAGAAAACTTTTATAACGTGTCAAAATCAACACATGCACCATAAAAAAAACTGCAATTAACGCATTTCGATAAGCCGACCTCGTCTCTAAGGAGATTAATGATTCATCATACTATTTTTCTTCAGATCTTAACGCACAAAAATATATGCTTCAGTATCGCATGGGAATATTTACAACAAGAAAACCAACAGTCAACCATGGCAGCAGTAGCCAACATCTTAAACAATAGCGCTGTCTTACCTCAACCTCAAGACTGAAATGGAAGTGACAGCATATGCATTAGACAGCGTGCACTAAGAAAGATTTCTTCTACAAACACAATGCCGCCTAAAATCTGTACGCAGAATGCCATCTGGCAGAATAGGTTCACTTGCCATAAAAGGCATATCCAAAAGTCAAAGCAACTGGGACTTTATCAAAGAATCAAAAAAGCGAATTGCTATTTCTTCGTTCAGGACGTCTGCATCCTTAAAGTCAGGCACCTTACACAGAACGTACTCATTTGGCTTGCACCAAAGAGAATGCATAACACGAGCCAGTAATGTCATCTACCAGGACCATGAACTAGTTCCAATTGCAGGACAGAGGGCCCAAACCAACTGTTAGGATTTTGGCATCTTCTTTCCGGAAGATATTCGATCAGTTCGTAGTGTACAGGTTTGTGGGGCGCTGTTGAAGCCATATCAAGCAGGTTCACCGCCGAACCTTAGCGGAGGGACTTAGGTCTTCCTAGGCTTCATGCCTCGAGCACTCGTGAAATTGAGACTCGAGTTGGCCTAGCAGATTCTAGAGGCTTCCATGTTCAACTAACTGGAACGACTTCCATCGAATTACTAGATGTCGGAGTGTGAGGTCGCGGTGATCCCATGTTCTCATTTCCAAATTCTGCATTGAGTCTCACAACCTCATCCCACATTGCATTTGAAGCTGTAGAAACAAAAGTCAAGGTGTACTAACATACTTAACCAAGACCTTCAATTCAAAAGCACAAGACGAATCATAAACTTATTATGTCAATGCAAACATGGATTAGAAAAGACTGAGATCGCATGAAGCAAGTCTCAATAAGTATTTCATCAAAAAAGCTCAAGCTTGGTAACTTAAATTTTGGAAAAAGGATACGATCACTCCTCCATATATCTGAGATGCCAACACCGGCGTCCGAAAGCAACCAGTAGTCTGTATCCGTCTAAATTTTGATCCCAAACATCATCCAACAGTAAAAAGTCAAGATAGTCAAAAACTTAAATTAGGAGTTGATCGAAGTGAATCACCAGAGCCCAGGTAGGCAGATGGAAGCTACAGACTACAAGGAAGCGAAATAGCCGAGACTTTTGTCAATTGTGATCTACTTAGAACAATCGATAGACAAGTAGAAGGTATACGAGCATCTATGTTCAAACGACGTATCTCTGTAAAGTGAGCACTGCTTTGAAAAGTGGGAGTGTTTGACAACATCCTGATACGTATAAGTCATGGAATAGATATTGATACGTTCCATTCAACCATAATCATTTCTATACACGGTACCACGCAACTTACAGTGGCTTCTGCGGGAGCTATTCTCATGATCCCACCCGCTAGGTCGGGATGAGAACTGATCAGCTCCGAGCTCTGCGATGCTGGCTCATGGCTGACTGGTGGTTCCAAATCTGTCAAGCTATACCCTACCACCGGCAACATGGTCATGGTTTCTTGATCCATGGCATCAGTAGGCGAAGGTGGACCAGCCGCTTGAGGGACAGGGTGTTCAACCTCGATAGGGATCTCAGCGGAGTTCATCTCCTCAAACTTTCCTTCAAAACGGCTGCATCAGACAAGGAAACAGAAAGACCTGGTCATCATCTTTAATAGCTCCATTTTGCAACACATCGTGATTTTGCAATCGGAGAGAAAATGCTCAAAACCTGTCCATAAATATCACTCAACAAGCTGGCTATTGATATCCTATCCTAAGATCCAGCAGAGCCAAAAAGGATCAACAAACCCACTCCACTGAATCATAGAATTCTTGAATTGCAAGTGCCCCAAGACCAAAACATCATGAACCTGACAAGGTACACGTCAATGGGCCCCATATTGCTGCGAAGCAGAATCTGGAATCGCCTATGAGGATACTCCACTGCCTGATGCATGAACCTAGAGTGTCAGCAGGTCCCAAACAGTGATAACAAAGCATGATTTGAGGCGGTAGTAACACATAGCAAGACACACTTTCTTGGCTAAGAATTAGAATCACCTCATCTGGATCTGGCACTTCCAAAGTTGTCCCAAGAGGTGCCTTGATAGCAATAAGCGTCTCATTCTGCCAAAACCCAAGCATCTGTATTTCTCAGCTACTTCGAAAGAACATGAAGATTGTAAATAACGACAACATAAGACGAGTTCTAGAAATATTACGAGGTTCATAACCAAAGCGAAGTAGGGAGCTAGGCCAAGATTAGTTTACAAAAAATGATTTTATAAGTAAGATGCATTAAAAACAGATGTGCTCACCTGAAAACAGGGCAAATTTTTTATGTCGTCTTCTGTGACATAGAGCCATCTGAACAGGAGAAAAATTCGAAATATAAAATATTTCAATCAATCTGGATTCATAAAGTCCAGCTTAATACAGTCCCCATATACTGTTCACATTAGGGGGCAAGATTCTCAAAATCTAAATTGAATAGGAATAAAACAAACAGCCATGACCCTTATCAAACCTCATGATTGTTGACCACAGCTAACACACAGGGAAAAGCCTCACTGTTTATTGTGATCGTCTTCACTTAAGTTCTTCAACTGCTCCCTTATTTCACTGCAAGCCACATAGAATAGCTGTCAAAAGCTGTTCCTCACCATGATGCAGATGTAGAAATTACGGTTGACAATAGAACCTGAAAAAATTCCAGGATGAAATAGAGTGCATGCCTGATGCTCTCGTCAAGATTTGATTCTTGATTGAGCAGATCCTCCACCTCAGTCTGCACCAAAACAGAATATTGTCTATCAATTGGAACACTTAGATCTGTCGTAAAATCTCTCGTTTCACCTATACATGTGCTTATTTCTAAACCGAGTCATAGCATCAACCAGGAAACAGAAATCTTCAACACCCTTGAAAGGACATACCTGTGTTCCTGCTCCATCATCCTTGATATCAGCATTTCGCGCCATTCCAAGTCTCCTACACCCACATTTAGCAAAAGTAACTAGACTTCTTAAAACCTGTACACGACTGTACAACTCCTGCTCTTCTTCAAAAAAAATGCGGATATAAAATGCCAACAATTTAACTTGCAGTGTTATTTCATTGAAAAAGCAGATAAATTTACTGACTTCCATCTAATCCGATTTTTCAGCTTCTTTTCAATTAACCCGATCCCTTCCAAAACATTGGTGATGTCATAAATTCTTCTCTTTTGTACCTGGTAAAACCACGGATTCCTAACACTATCAGCCAGTAGATACTAGATATAATAAATTTAAATCAACTCACTCTCTCTCCCTCTCTCAGACACAGTCACACACACACACATACACACTACGATTTGCTGCATATCATAGCATCATGTGCCAGTTCCCATTGACCGATATGCTAGTATTAAGTAATAAGCAGTTAGTAATCAAAACTTACGGTTTGGGCATTAGAATTAGAACTTTGTAACGAATTGAGGTGAGAGAAAGCCAGACAGAAACACTAACATTCAAAGTATCTGCAGCCTTGTTCAAATCCAATACACCATCGTCTGCTTGCTTAATAAGTTCAATGAACTTCTTTGTCAGGAGACCTGGGTAACCGAAATGTCAGATAAGAAACAACTGTATACCACTGATCCTCCTTTCATAAAAGAATCGCTATCTTACAATCCGCATATCAACTTCATACAAAAATTCTCTCAGATTTCACTAATCATGCCCAGAATCAGAATAAGAAGGCATGTATACATTAAAAAACATTATGAGAAGTTCCAGGAGCAAGGTTATAACACCTAGTGAGCTGTCATAGCGACAGCTGCTTGTTGGAGTCGGTGCACTGCTTGTGGGAGATCCTGTAAGTCATCCCAGTGAATTCAGAAATAAATTGAGCGGCTTTATCCCTTGAAAAATTCGACTCCATCGCAAACAAACTAATAAAATTGTTATATGACATAGTCATCCAAGCCAGAGAGACTCATTACAATCCTAAACCCTACTAGAGAAAAAGCATTTGCACCAGTTCACTCTACCAGAAGTGTTTCAATAGCACCAGCTTCTTAAACTATAAGCTCATGAATAGAATCCTACGGATGCCTGAATGTCCTGGAGTTAATGGGCAATTCTTGGTCTGCTTCACCGTCTTCGACCGGCTGGCTCTCGCTCGTGGACCTGAGGGAGTAGGCGCATGGCTATGATCAGAATTCGAGTGCCCGTTCCAACCATTCATCTGAACTCCGTGTCTTTCTTCGGACTCATTCCTCCGCTTCATCTGACAATATTGAAGAGTGCAGTTCTAGTTATCAAGCGGTTACTATGCGGGAAACATTAGTGGAAACATCTAATGGGCGTGCTGTAGATTTCGAAGTCCCTAGCACGTGACCAACATACTTGTAAACAGAATTTAATTGAGAACCAAGGATGTCTCCACTGCTCAAACTTGTTCGACAGCTACAAGTGTAGGACCTACATCACGATAGATCGATGCATGGACGTGGAATACTAACATACTCAGTTCAAGACTATCAGAAGGAAATGTTGTCTGAGGCATCTTATTGAATGATATATAAGTTTTCTTCCACACGCTTTCAGACTGTCCCGAATATGGGGTTTGTCTGATCATACCACGCTAATAAGTGGGGTCAAAACTTGGCCAGTCGCCAGACTACTTTGAGGTGCTCGGCGGAAAAAGTCCAGGAGAAAAGTTGATTTGAAAAGCTTAGTTTTGTCCTACCGATAGTCTAAAGCGAGCCTGAGACAGAATCATGCTGTAGAATCCCAAGACAGAGTCAATCGCCAGTGTGTCCCTGGACCTGAAATCGTTTTTTTCACATCGCCATTATAAACGGTGAATCCAAACCGATATGAGACGCCTACGCTACATCCAACGATTAGTGGTGACCATGCGACGAACATTGGGAAGACCTACATTTGCATATAGAAGGTTGTTGATCTCGTAGGACTCAATCTTGGGCTTGCCCGAACACAGGGCCGCCTTCCATGTGGGCGCCTGTTGATTGGGCATAGTTACATTGCTCCTCGACCCTGAATATGAGGAAGGTTTCAGTGCGTTTGGACTGATAACCTTCCATACGTCTAACTCACAACAATAGCATCAGATGAGGGAAAAGTCGACCTAGAACGTGTGGAGGAGCTCACCAACACTCTAAAACTCAACAGCAAACAAATTGAAGTTAAAAACACTGCACTCGTGCCTCGACTTGACAAGAAGAGCGACTTTCGAGGACATTTTTCCCATTCTGGAGATGAAGTCCACAACACGACCTACGAAGGAGCAACGAAAACTGGGAGAGCGCAGGAGATGCATATGGTATAATTTTAATCAAACAGAACACCGGAATCGTAAAACCTGTGTTCACAAGATGTGCAGGGACGGCAAGTAAGAAACCTCAAGAATCCACATTATTCTCTACTCCAAAAAAAAGGACTTCCAAATTAGCACAAAGGGTCAACACAAACTCGTGATCAATTGGAGTGTACAGAACATGCGATGTCGTCCATTCCACTGAATTTCCCCGACGTGTCACGGACAAAAGTAGAACAATCATAACGCAAATCAAAGAGGGGTACCAAGACGCAACTCGCACGCCGCAAAGACGAAACAATGTACCTTTCCCAACTTCCATCAGCCCAATCAAGACACCAGCATCTTCTCTCCCTTTCCCACCTCTCCCTTCCTCAACACACCCCCTCTCCACCTCCAACAACAACTCCATCATCAACCCAAAAAAACTCATCTCTTACTTCGGATTCTATTGACAAAATTACGCCTCTTATATCCCTGTCCCATCATCCCCAAAAGCACCCCAACAAGAACTCATCCCACTGTTCAACTCCAAATCAATCCTTGCCCCTTCAAACCCACGACCACATCGCTCCAAAATCTCAAAATCAAACCACCCCGCCCCCGCCCAAACCCAAACCACGTTCAAAGCAACCAACGACTCGACAACCTAGTCATCAAAGCCCTCTCATCCCAGTCCGCTGCAACATGTTGACGGCAATGGAAGGTAATTTTCGTCAGATTCCGTTCAACTCCTTCTTCAACTTCTTCTTCTTCTTCTTCCGCTTCCTCCGCAACTTGACAGACAGCCGTAATGATGGTAGCGCGGCTGTTGTTGACCGCGAGGCACAGGTGAGACGCCGTCGAGGGCGCAGGGGAAGTTCCTCGTCAAGGAAGCGATCGATATCCGTGACGATTGTAATGTAGGCAATAATTTTGATTACGAATGCTCGAAGGGAAGCGATTTTGCAACATGAATCAGAACGGGGGGGCACACGGAAGGAGGACCCATGCGAGGAGGTTTTGCAGCACGAGGAATTCAGAAAAATCCAAACAAGCCCGACGTTCATTGCCTCCTCTCGTCAACGATCAACTTTCGTGTCGAAGCACCGGGCGGGACGACATGCCCGGATCTAGGGTCGAGATATGTACCTGCCTCTATCTGATACCCCGGATTGATCCCTCTGTTCTTCTTCGTGAGTCGTCAGATCCTACACTGGGTGCACTATGGAGTGTTTGCGTTGCCTTTTTCCTCCTCCTTTTATCTTTTTCCTTAGTTTTATCTTTTTCCTCATATGTTGCAACATGAGGGTCAGTCAGCCAACGTTGATCTCGTGTTATCTATTCTGGTAATTCTACAGTTGGTAGTAATCCCTCTTCTCTCTTTGATTAGTTCAATAACTAAAGCCAACTCTTTGTTGTTGATTCCATGGCAATTTCTTTTGCAGTTCCATGGTGATCTCTACATGAACTCTTGTAGTTTTTTATTGAAATTATATTCTTTTTTTTTTAATATTTTAGGGACAATTTAGTTGCAACCCACCCATCATCCCACCTAGCTTATGGTACTAGTAAAATTCACATCCTAAAACCAGATCTCATCCATCTGTTTGTGAGTGAGGGTTGTAGTCAATTTGCCTGATAAGTCATGGTAGGTGCTTACATGCTTCTCATAAAACTAACTGCTAGTTGTACTGTGGAGTACAGAGGACATATGATGGGAATTGTAGTAAATTCTGTACTCCACTTCAAAGCTTGGGAAAAAGGCCCTCAGTCAAGACCCCCTAAACCTGGTTGGACGGTACGAATTGTACAAAAACCCATGGGACTGAATGTGGAAAATGTTTTCTCATCCACATGGGACTGATCACTTGGGCTTGGATTGGCTTCCCCATCTCCAGCTGACCAAAGTTTGACATCAACTTTTTTACAATAAAAAGATGAAATGTTGCCTAAGAGATACAAGAACACACAGCTCCCCATACCCATGGGTTCAATCTTTTTTGAGTTATGAAGATCACAATGTGAATTGGTACATCTGCATTTGTTAAGTTTGTGCTAAGCTTAGAATCTTTCATTCTTCATTCCATTTGTAAAGAATAATATGGAGCCAGCTGTTTGGGGAATTATCAAGAAATGATTTATTATGTTCATGTGAAGAAGAGCTTAAAGAACCCACAAAAGAATCTTGACATTCACTGAGACAACTGTAATTTGGCAGCAAATATCATATACACAGTGAAGCTATTGCAGGGTTTAGCTTACGTAGATGAAGTTAAGGGCAAAACCCTAAACCTAAAAATCCTAAACCTAGAATTGAATCTCATTCCCAGGTGTAGACATGTACAAAGGGTTCAGAACAGGACTGTCCACTCTGCTGATGCTGTCTTTATTCTGCCCTGTCTGGATTGGCATACTGAAAAAAATCCACTGTGATGTGTTCTCAAAGTGTTTTTCACCAAGAGAACAGAAAAGAATAGAATATATATATATATATATATGTACGAAAAAAGCAAACAGCCCAGAGTTTACTCAGTTGGAACAGAGCGAGAAAACACTAAAGAGTGAGTCGGTGATAAACCGACATTAATAGAGGTGAATGAATCAGACACCAGTGACTGTGCGACAGTGGCGAAATGCAATCTCTTTATTTTTCTCATCTGGTGACCGCAGCACCCAATTCCGCCTTAAACCCAATACCGTGTTATTCCCCTCCTAAAGGCGCAGGGGCTAGGGTTAGGAGGGCAGAAAGGGAACTTTTCTCACCTGCTTAATTAGCTCTTCAGGGCGACAATACCATGACCCGTATGAAAGCAAAACCCCCACCCACATCTTTGACCTTAAACACCAGTCAACATTTCATCTATTTGTTAAAAAATAAAAAATAAGAAATGCTCATTGTTTCTGAAAAGCTCACAAATATTTTTTGTAAAGATGTTGATATTTACATTCATGTTTGCATCATCTTTGTTATTGTTTGGTTTCAAATATTGTCTAGAAATCTGCCTTTGGTGGATTCTCGTGTTTTGTGTCTAAATGTAATCATTTTTATTTGTGAGTGTTGGTAAATCACTGTGTTTTAGATTTGTATGAACTATTAACAACCAAAACAACATATTTTCTTAAAACAAAAATTAGTGAAGATTGAGAGTAAAAAAAACTTTTAATCAAATTGAGTAACACCAATTTAATTAAGAATTGTGAATTGAGAAAAAAAAAAAAAAAAAAAAAAAAAAAAAAAAAACTTTCCTGATATTATCATTAAATGATGCCATCTTCAATATACAGCACCTTACATTATATTGAGACAAGCAACTAAAAAAACAGAGTTGTATTAGTGTGTGTATATTTCTTTTAGGTGCTAGGTACACATTTTTAATAAAATGTACAAAAACAAATCCATGTACTTTCAATTGTACAAATTGAAAATCCATAGAATTGCATATTCGGATTGGATTGAATTTGGTAGTTTGAAATATCCAAAATACCATGTAAAGATCTTTACGAAATTTCAACAATTGTGAATTTAAACACAATTGCGAAACTCTGTTGATGTCCTCCAGTCATTGCAAAAATTGCATACGTACTGCACACTTGAACTGATATAAAATTTACTTGAACAATGCAAAGAGTAGTGGAAAAATATATGTACACTTATGCTAGATGTAGTGAAGTACGTTTCGATGTTTTGTCTAGAGCAAGTCAAGTCAATGTCATTGCCGCAAACAATGTAATTCCAAACTGGAGCCTAGACGCAACTGCGCAGCCATCTGGTTTCACAATGAACTCGCTTCACAATGAATACTAAATCTTTTATTATTTTCAGTATGTGAAAGATAGGTTTTCACTTGTGAACCGCTGACAAGCAGTGAATTACACTACACTCTAACTGGTTTGCAAATTGGGCACAATCCAGTACTACAGACTAGGGAAACAGAACAAAGAGTAGTCTTCATGTTACACTTGAAACTTGGCATCTACACCCCACCTCCATTGCGCACCTAGATTCGTCCTCCAGTAAATGACTTTCAAACTAAATCTAGTAGGACCCAAGCTTCAAATATACCCACTTAAGAAAAAGGGTACAAAGATAAACTACAGAACAAGAAGAGTAACAACACACTAACAAGCTCACTAACGTTGTTTGCTTCCTAAAAATAAATTCAATGTTTGAAATTCTTCAAGTGTCAACCGTGACACTAGCCTCTGACTTCTTGACAGAGGGGATTAGGGAAATACCTGGGCGTACATTTGGACTATCAGCACCCAAGGATTTCCTCCGGTTCAGCATGCCAGGGCCTCGATCAGTGGACAATGGTTTAGAAGGCATCGGTGAGGGAGATTTGCTCCGGTTTAGCATGCCAGGAATTCGATCAGTAGACGACGGTTTAGAAGGTGCCGGTGAGGGGGATTTGCTCCGGTACAGCATACTAGGGCCTCGATCAGCAGGTAACGACCTGGAAGGCGTTGTCGAGGTGGATTTGCTCCGGTACAACATACTAGGGCCTCGATCAGCAGGTAGGGGCTTGGAAGGTGTTGGAGATGGGGATTTGCTCCGGCTTAGGGTAGTAGGAACTCGATTAGCAGATAGTGGTTTAGAAGGCATGAGCGAGGGAATTTTGCTACGATATAGCATACTAGGGCCTCGATCAGCAGATAATGGCTTGGAAGGCGTTGGTGACGGGGTCCTATCTCTAAAGCTATTGCTAGGAGCCAAAGTTTTCGATGAGGCTTTTGGCTTGCCAATAATCTTTGAAGGATTAGGAGTTACAACCGATCCCGGTGAAGACTTCTCAACATTAGGAGAAGATGAAGGTCTCTCCACTGGAGATGACTTGGTGGTCGTTCTGCTTTGAATATTTGTAGACAGTTTCTCCGTAGAGGTTTTCTGCTTCGGGTTGCTCAGGCTCAAACGTCTTTCGGAGGGAGATGGCTTCAAGGTACTTGGACTCGAGAGAGAAGGCGAAGCGGATTTCCTCCTAACAGGCTCAGAGATTGATGCCCTTCTCGTTCCTAGAGATGGTGATGGAGATGGTGATGAGGTGATCTTCTTCTTCACCGTTTCTGGCTTCGTTTCTCGGCCCCCCATGCCATTTGTTGCCGGTGGCTTGCGAATAGAGGTGGGGGAAGAAGGTATTCCACTGCCACGGGATGAAGTCTGTAAACTTGTTGAAACCCGAGGTTCTGCTGGAGATGGAGGAGTTTTCTTGGAAGGCTTGGTACTTGAATCGTTCGAAGGCTTATCTCCGGCAACGGTTGGACTCGTCCTCTTAAGGTAATTCCCCGGTGTGTGTGGTGAAGCAGCCGAGGAGTTAGTGACCCTGCGTCCTGAGGCTTTCAATACTGGAACTGACGACGCTAACTGCTTCACTTTTGAGGAAGATGGAAGATCAACTGATTTTGACATTGAGGTCACTTTGTGAAGATTGTTTCCAGAGGAAACACCTGCTGAACGAGTAGGCAGAGTAGTTGTGGAGGATCTTCGGGGATCCGCTGTTCGGGAGGGTTTGCGCGACCCAGTGATAGCGCTAGATCCAACCGAAGGCCGATTTGCACTTGTGCTCATACCAGGCTTCAAATTATTTGTGCTAGGCCGCGTGGTATTTGCTGAGGACCTTAAGGTGCTCGTCCCTATGGAGGCTTCACGAGGAACTCCTCTTCTTATGACTGGAGGAACTGAGATTATTGGCGGTCCAAGTTTACGCTCACTCTTTCCATTCGCAGCGCCACCATTGTTGTCAGTAGTGCTTTGCGATCGGAGGGTAGCTGCTGTAGATGAGGAAGACCTTAGAAAAGGTTTTGGCGATGATGGAGCTTGGTTTTGTAGTGCAGCAGATACGCTCTGCCTCAAAGAATTTAGAGTTGCCTCTGTGAGTTTGGTCTTATTGTTATCCTTCATAGGGGTTTGTGCTGGTGTTGAAGCTCCCCCAGAATTTTCTGAAGGTGCATGATCCAAGTTAGAGTAAGAGCCATTAGCGATTGCGGAAAAATCGGACTCCTCAGGAAGGTCCGGGGCAGCAGAGAGGATAGACTCTACTTCAGCATCCGTCATGGCAAGCTCTCCATCATCACCATGGCCATCTAGATTGTCACTATCCTCAAGTCCATATCCACGTTCTGAGTAATCCTCACCCCCATAATCTGATGTTGGGCCTGAGACAGGATCTTCATCTTCATACCTGGGAAGGTAAACAACATCCCGCCATGGGTCGACACGTTTATGGGATTCCACCTCCACCTCTTCCATCGTTACGTTGTGTAAAAACCGAATGTTTGCAGAAGTCGATGCACTCGGTCTTCTGGCAAGTACTCAATTTCACCTGTGATAAAACTCACACTGCTTCAGACAAATTATAAGATTGCTCACTCCTTTGGAACTACAGCTAGATATGGTGGCGACAGTGAAGAAGATGCCTATGGTTGCACGGCCAAGACATAGAAGCAGTCTGATGGGCCAATTTGAACGAAATACAACACTGAATTTTACAGTCTTAACATTGATTTTATTTTCCAAGCAGGAACTGCATAACTAAAGCAATCCAGGAATCGGTATCCAATCTAAATCCTGAACCAAATACAACCCTGCCATGGCCAACCAACAATCTAAGGAACCCTGTTGTTGTGTAAGGAATAAAGCATCGTAGGCAATTTTTGCATCAAATTTTCGCACTCAATTGCAATGCAAGCAAAAAAATTATCATTGACAGAAAAAAAAGGAAAAGAAAAAGTAAAGCAAAGCTTAAAAATCAAACTTACACTGACGAAACATTAATCATAATTACTGGTTTACGACCGCATCAGTCTGCTGCCGTATCCCAAAAGATTGAAGTCAGGACATCTTTCTACCATAAATGCTGACCCTGTAAACAAGTGTCGCCCAAAAGCACGTGAGGCTCCTGGATGTCTCAGGTGGACAACCTCTAACTATGATCAGGAAAACCAAGGACGGAAGGTGTTGTTACTCAAGCATAAATAAGTCATGACAGAGAAGTGAAACTACGACCTTCTCTAGTCAGGTAATCAGCAATTGTCTAAATCTCTGACGAAACAGCCATCCCTGTTTGCTGTTCGGAAAATTTAATCTGCAAGATAAAAGAAAATTACTGACAAGGATTGTACATTAAACCAAACAATCCTGAAATGCAAAATGTGGTGTATAGCATTCTGAAGATCGAAATCAACACCAATAAGCAAACGCTAGACACACCAATGAGTATTTAAAGGGAATCAATAACAAAATAGTTAATGTGGAGCACCTAACACAAATCCGTATGTCAACTTGCAATCCGATGCAGTAATCGACAGCGAGGCAGTGAATCAGAATTCGGGAACCCCCTATACGGACAGGAGGAACGAGTCCTTCCTTAAACATTCATCTCTACTTGAAACAAAAACCTCATGGTACTTGCTCATTTCTAGGATTTCTTGACTGCTTTAGCGCTGCGTGACAAAGGCAAACTTCCAGCCAATCCATTCAGAAATATCGAAATAGATCTAGATGGAATCATGAAATGTATAAATTCAAGATGTGCAGGAATAGGCATAAAATCATGTAGTGAATCGTGGTTTTCCGTCTAGCGTGTAATCACAGATTCGAAATGTCATTTGAAAGACAGAGACAAGACGAGGATGAACTGATTCCAAACTGATAATTTCGCTATTCACTGCATTCCTACTTCTTTAAAACGCATTTAAACTACTGATAACGCTCTGATCGAGTGTTCGGACGAATCCTAAGTCCAACATACGCTAAATCGAGAATTTATTCTGTGCACCCGTTACATTGACTATAAGAATGGAAAAAATTGCCGACGGCGATTGAAAACAAATCACAAATGAGGAGTATTTCAAGAGCACACTAGCATAAAAAAGTCAAACAAACACACACACACACACACACACGCACACAGAAGAAGAAGGAGAAGAGGAAGAAGCAGACGTGAGAGAGAGATAGGGAGAGGAGGAGGAGGAGGAAGAAGTAGCTAGTGCCGCGTTGCATCAAGAACGCACAGAGTATACACCCTAAGATGGACAGCTACACGTTGCAACGTGATATCGAGAAAGGCATTTCTGAATTCCGGATAATGCCATCAATTTCCCACACCAGACAAAAAAGTAATCACACGCACACTCCCACACAAAGGCTCAAATCACGAGGACGACGGGTCGCATTATTGCTAGAGTCAAATCCCAGGCTCTCTTCGTCATCTGCACGAAACGGTAAAACCTACGAGCAGCGATTCTATTCCAAGCAGCGTTTAGGATTCAGATTGCGAGTTTCAGGACTCGCGCAAGCACAACGTGCACATTCGGTGACCAAAATCTGCCATTCGAATCACGATTGCAAGAGGATTCAGATGCTCACCCTGCGGGTTCGATCCATGACGCTCAGCCACAATTCGCAAGGGAGATCCAAATCAAACCTCGATGAGAAGAGGAGATGAGCTGCAATGCGATCGAAATCCAGGCAGGCAAGCAAGCAGGCGAGGGAGAGCTATGGACCTGACAGAGAAGAGAGTGCATGCGCTATAGTCCCGAGAACCCTCCGAGCTTTCGAAATTCGAACAACGAGGAGGGAGGGAGGAAGGGGATGGATGGATGCATAGATGGATGAAGGGGAAAAGGCTCCATGACCCCGCGCTTCCTATCCATCGCTTTCATCATCTCGACCCCATCACCGCTGTCGCCTAAAGCCGCAACATGATCTCGGTCTTGGGTTTGTTTGGCGCTTTCTTTCCACGTCACGGTCATCCTTTGTCGTTGGCAATAGTTGCTGCGTTCTATTTTCCTTTTTCTTTTTTGAAAAAAAATAAATTATATATATATATATATATATATATATATTTCCAATCTTCAGCTTTGATTATTATTTTTTTACTTTAAAATTATCTATATATGAAAATATTGAAATTTTTATACATCCAAATTTAGGAAAAGTTATTTTGTAAGAATTAATTTGGAATGTAAAAATAGAAGTCTTATTTTTTGAACAATGTAGAAATTTTGGGATGATATATATATATATATATATATATATATATATACTATTTAAAATTATATTTAATTATTCATATCTTTCATACATATATATATATATTTTTAATTTATTTAATTTTTAATATATTTAAGATTAGCAACTATTAGCATGCCCCTTCTATTTGGAATTTTTGTATATAGTTTTGAAACTTCTAGCATTTGTAGAATATCACCTCTTTCACATCTATACTTTCTACATTATATTACTTTTATTCTTAAATAAAAACTTGACTTAGATTGTATTAAGGTTTTTATAAATATCAAAGTTATTTCAGCTTTAAAATAAAACTAACCAAATCTATGCCATTATCACAAAATCTCAAGAATTTGATTAATTGTAGCTTTGTATTGTGGTCAAATCCAAGCTATTGCTCTATGATGGCATGGTTAAATGTCATTTATACACATAAGATCATGGAATGTCACAAATATATTACTCTAATAATTATCTAGGTAATATAAATAGATAGAAGTAGATAAAAGTATATTAATTTGATAATATCTTATAGAAAAGTTTCCTAGAAACTTCATAAATACATTTTCATCTTTATATTGTCACAAATATATATCTATTATAAATATTGTCTAGACAATATGAATTTGTAGAAGTAGATAAAAGTAGATTAATTTCATAATACTTTCTAAACTTCCTAAATGCTTCTTAGATGCTATTTTGACTTTACATGTGTTCATAGTTGATTGATAAGTTAGAAACTTCGTCAACAAGCTAACCACATGCTACATGTGTTGATAGCTTGCGGAACAAGTTAACTATGTGGCGCACATGTAGAAAACTTACCTTGTAAGTTAAAATATGTGTCATACAAAATCAACATGTTTTTGAAGGTCTTATAGAATATTGCCACATATTATATATAGAGGCAAGAGTGAAGCCTTCTTCACTCTTGTCAACTCCTTTCTTATTTCTAATTTAGTTTCAAGAGTCTCTAGTTTCCTTATCTTTTAGCAATAGCCATTCTAATTATTTTTTTAATATATATACTCTTCTATTTCTATTTTGCCATATTTCTTTGAGAGAGCGTCATTTGATTATTCGGAGCTGCTTCAACATCTACACTAAATCATGTCTTTTCTTCTATGGTAGAATATCCTTTTAGTGTTAGAAGACCGAGGATTGCATTGCCTAAGAAGTTTGATGGTATAAGATCCAAGTTTTGAAGATTTATCAATCAGGTACAACTTGTGATTGAACTTCAATCCTAGAACTATCCAACTCTAGAATCATAAAATAGATTCATTACTACATCCTTTTTAGATTTAGTATTATAATGGTTTTCATTTTTTTTTGAACAACAAGATCCAATATTGAATAATCTAGACATTCTTTTAGCAAAGTTTCAATCCATGTATGAAAAACATGGTGCAATTAATATTGCAACAAATAAGATTTATATTTTACAGTAAGGCAATCGATTTGTAACATTATATGCTTCATAATTTTGACAACTTGCAACTGATATCAAGTGGGATGATGCTCCAACTTGTTAATCAATTTTTCTATAGATTACAATATGAGGTAAAAAAATTAATGCTAAACTTATTTAATCCTCAAATATTGAGTCAAGTAATTGACTTTGCTATAAGGTGTGACAATCGACTTTTTGAATTTCAATCTAAGAGTCACACAAGTATACCTTAATATTACTATAATTCAATGACAATACCAATGCCTTTTCAATACATACATTTGAAAGTAGAGAATATGTAAATTGATGCAATACATTTCAAATTTTTTATTGAGAAAGAAAAGACTCGTCGTTATTACTAAAGATTGGCTTATATTGTAAAGAATCTAAGTACTTTGCTTAATATTTTTTAAAGAAGCGATGCAACTACAAAATGAGGAGTACTACAATCAAAGAAGATAGCATATTGAAAAATGAGTTTGTCTAATTATAATAAAGACCGTGCGATTGGAACATTGTACAACACCTAGTGAAAGTCTTATCTTCTCTTCAGAACCCTCTTCTTATTTTATAATAAATATTATTTTAGGATCTAAATATTACAAAGCTTATGCCTTATTAGATTCAAGAGCCTCAGCATGTTTCTTCAATGAAGAATTTGCTAAAAGATATAGCATATCTTTAGTGAAGAAAACTAAACTTATTCATGTAGAAGTCATAGATAGTCATCTATTATCTTCAAAAAATTTTATTCATAAAATCCTTCCTATAGAAGTAATAATTAATGGTCATAATAGCTTTAAAATATTTAATATTATTAGATCTTCCTCTAATCCAATCATTTTAGGTTTACTATGGTCAAAAAAAATATAATTCAAAAATAGATTCGATTTCACATAGTCTTGATTTAAAAAAAATATACAATTAAGAGTATAATTGATCAAGTAAAAAGTCATAAGTCTAGTACAATTAAACTTATATTTTTAGGTACAAAAACTTTCTTATATACTGTAAAAGAAGGATTATCTTGTGTCATTTATGCTACACTTATTTCTAATGGTGGAAAGACTTTAAGTGGCATTTTAAGCCAATATCAAGATTTTAAAGATGTATTTGAGAAGAAGAATGCAAATACTCTATTAAAACATCGTTCTTATCATTGTTCAATTAACTTTCAAGAAAGAACTCAACTATCGTTTAGATCAACTTATAATTTATCACAAAATGAGTTGACTAAACTCAAGGTATATATTGAAGAAAATCTAGCCAAGAACTTCATATGCCATTCCAAATCTCTAGTAAGAGCTTTGATTTTATTTGTGAAGAAAAAAGATGGTTCATTGCAGATGTGTGTCAATTATCAAGGACTCAACAAAATCACCATAAAAAATAAGTATCAGCTACTTTTGATATCTGGACTTCTTGATCTATTGAATCAAACTAAGATCTATATAAAAATAGATCTATTAAGTACATACAATTTGGTATGCATCAAAGAAGAAGATAAATGAAAGATTGGATTTTAAATAAAGTATGGATATTTTGAATATAATATCATGCCTTTTAGACTTACAAATACATCAAAAACTTTTTAATATTTAATTAATGATATTTTTTGAGATTTTTTAGATGAATTTTTTGTCTATTATCTAGACAATATCTTAATCTATTTTAATAATATAGAAGAAATTAAACTTCATGTTTGTCATGTGATACAAAAACTAAGAGATGCAGGACTCTATGCCAAGATAGAAAAATATTTTTTCCACACTACTCAAGCCAACTTCTTAGAATACATCATTTCAAATGATAGACTCAGTTTGTATTAAGATTTTAAAGAATACTTTTTAAGATTTTAATAGTGGACATAAAATTATCTTCAGCTTTTTATCTTCAAATTGATACATAAACAAAGCTTGTAAATCAAGTTTTGAAGTAGTATTTGAGGTGTACCATCAACTACCAACAAGATGATTGAAAAACTCTTTTGCCATTGGTAGAATTTACTTATAATAATATAATATATTCTTTTATACAACAAACATTTTTTTTTTGCTAATTATGGATATCATCCACAATTTAATACTTTTAACCTTTGAAAAGTTGATAATCATGTCGTAGAAGATTTGAAAAATCATTTATTTGAGCTACATACAACAATAAAAGTATGACTAAAAAAAGTTCAAAAATAACAAAAGAGCAATGCAAATGCTTATCGCAAAGAAACAACTTCATTTCCATGTTGGTGATAAAGTATGGTTACTTTATTATAATATTAAAACTATTTGCCCTTGTGACAAGTTGGATTATTGTAAACTTGAACCATTTCCTATTTATTAAGAAGCCAATCTAATTTCTTATTGATTACATCTACCAAAGTCTATAAAATTCCATCTTATATTTTATGTATCTCTTTTAGAGCCATATAAGTTAGAAAATATTCTAGAAAAAAGACAAATACCACTACCTCCTATAGAAGTAGATAATAACTAAGAATTTGAAGTAGAAGAAGTCTTAGATTAAAGGTGGTGCTAACATAGGTTAGAATATCTTATTCATTTGTATGGATATGATATTAATAAATGCATATAGAAGCTATTAAAAAAATCTTATTAATGTAATTCAGAAGGTCAAAGCTTTTCATCAACGAAATCTATCAAAATCAAGATAAAAAATAGCAAGTCTTTGATATAAAAGAAACATAATTTAAAAAAGATTGTATTCTACCTTTTATCTTTATTTGTAGTTTCTATATAATTGAATCATTAAGAAGATAGAAAATCAACAATCAAGGGATTCAATTCAAGAACCATTATTTACTCACTTATTGGGTGAAACATTGTGATTATCACAACCTTTAAGACAACATAGTAGAGATAAAGACCTTCAAGAATAATATATTTTTCCTTGAATAGATAGCAAGATACAATGCATTTGGTATTATGACCTAAAAAGAAACTCTCAATGTTTGGTGATTTTCTAGAAGTAGGCATGACTTTTGATGGTATTATAAATATTTATTTGAAAAAATTTATGAAGGTTTTAACAATGATTAAATAACAGGGTGGTCT